TGAGGACTGGGTAAACCCCATTTAGATGTTCAGCTTTCATGTTCTCTATTTCTGAAACTAGAAATTCTGCCTGTTAAACATGGCCTCATGATCACCACTTAACTGTCTTAATGACCGACTGAGTCTTGACATGGCATTCTATTTTTCCAATCCAAAAATGAGGAAAAGATTAATAATAGAGCCAGATGTTAAGAACATTTGGGCGAGAGGACTGCAACTCTGCTTTCTGAATTACGTCATCTACTTTAATCAGTGAAAGTTTGGACTTCCATTTGAACTTAATATTTTGGTGGATGGGAGAGAAAAGGTCCTTGTTTTGAAAATCCCAAGGAGGCAGTTGAGTCTGGATGGGACTTTTAAGAATGACCTGTTCCGGAAATTCCCATCTTGGAAGAAATAGAAATCTAACATGTATGGAGTTCTTGCCATGTGATAGACTCTGTGTGAAAAGTTTCCCATGTAGCATCTGATTCTTATCTTCAGAATAAGGCTGTGAGATACATTTATAGATGAGGGAAGAGGCAGAGATCCGACCAGTCCAATGTTTTATAGCAGTAAAAATGCCTCAGAGCTGGGATTGGAACTTTTGCAATTTAGCTCCACAGCTAATTCTTTTGAAATCAGAGAGAGATGGTCTTCATGCTGGAATGGGTATGCAACCACTGATCTAACTGAAGACTAGTGAAGACAAAATTACCCACCCAAAGGAACAGAGCTCATTCATGGCCAAGTTAGTTTCAGAGAATAAACTCTAGTCACCAAAGTGATCTCAAAGAGAATTTTGCCATCCCATCAGGGGCTCCTAATTTGGCTTGAGGAGTCCCTAGGTGGTTCAGATGCTTAACATGCTTGGCTGCTAAGCAAAAGGTTGGAGGTCTGAGTCCACTCAGAGGTGCCTTGGAAGAAAGACCTGGCAATCTACTTCTGAAAAATGAGCCACTGATAATCTTTTGGAGCACAGTTCTACTCGGACACACCTGGGGTCGTCATGAGTCAGAATCAACTCGATGGCAGCTGGTTGGTTAATTTGGCTTGAGTTATGGAGAATTTAACATTATTCTTGTTTTGAGGAATCCAGAAGGAGAGGCACAAACAGAATTTAAATTCATCTGCTATTGTCACATTTCTGTTCTCCAGCACAAGGTTCCTCAAGGTCCCAAGAGAAGCTGGAAAACAATAGTGCATATCTCTGCAGTGGCCATGTTGACCTTACAGCTTAAATAAAGTTTATGCATGAAAACACCAGAGAGATGGTCCCAACTGAAAAGTATAAAAAGAACTAGGCTTTAAGGGGACTTCTGAAATCACAGCGTTTTTTCTGAATCCTATCCCTTTGAGATGAAGACTACAATTATTTCAGACAAATTGCCACATGAAAATTCTGCAAAGAAAAATACCTCAGTCCATCAGTCCACCATTTTATAGTGCAAATAGTTCTTCCCTCTGCAAAACAGTGCCCCCTTGAGTAGAGTCCTGGGTCCGCAGTTAAAGAGCTGCTCAAACTGGAATGTCCCAACACCCAGGCACTCACTGGCCGACTGCTGCTACATCTTCGGGTTTACCCACTCCTTTGCCTGCCTCATCTATATTGTTCCTGATTTGTGTATAGGGCTGTTTTGGTTGCGAAGAGGGTAAAACACTGCTTCTTGTTTGGGCTCATTCCAGGGCTATGGATGGGGGAGGGCAGGATGCTGTAAATTGTTACTTTTACTTCCCACTTTAAAGAAGAACAAATTCTTCCCTCTTCTTCACTCCTCTCTTTCCTAAGCCCCTAACTTCCACAGTGCAGAGGATGAGATCCTGGTTGAGGGACTGGAATAGCCAAGGGTTTTTTTGTTTCTTTTCTTTTTTGCTGACTCCAGACCTGGATTAGACTTTCTGGCTTTGTTTTAATACTAGAATAAGGGGATTCCTTTATCTTCAACTGGCTCCTATCTACTGCAGGCCAGAAATGATAGGGGAGAATTCTGTGTGGAAGCATTTTACACAGAGCTCGGCTGCTAACTAAAAGGTTGGCCGTTCCAATCCACCAGCCGCTCCTTGGAAACCCTATGGTGCAGTTCTGCTCTGTCCTGTAGGGTCGCTATGAGTCGGAATTGACTTGATGGCAACGGGTTTGGTTTTAGTAGCTAGTATTGGAGCCTCTGGGTGGTGCAAATGGTTAAGAGCTTAGCTGCTAACTGAAAGGCTGGAGGTTCTAGTCCACCAGAAATCAGCCATTGAAAACCCTATGGAGCACAGTTCTACTCTGACACACATATGGTCACCATAGTTGGAACTGACTTGACATCTACTGTTTTTTTTATAGTTAACATTGAATGGATGAACTGCAAAATGAGCGAAGGCTCAACCAAAGGGCTTAATCAGGCCAAGAATAAAAACAAAGTTGTGATAATCCTATAGTAACCAAAACCCACTGCCATCAAGTGGATTCCAACTCATAGGGGCCCTATAAGGATCCTCTCATTTTCCTGAGAGAAGGGAAGACTATGCCCATTTCTCATCTCTTTTTTTAATAGTGATATACACAAAACATTCAGCAGTTCATCAATTTCTACATATACATCTCACTTCTTACATAAAGCACAAAAGCTTTTATTCATCATCACTCATTCATTAAACAGTATTGTCAGATATTTTGTAAAGCGTAGGGATGTTTAACACAGGTTAGAAGTGAAAATGACCTACAGTAAAACTGTCAAAAGGCTGCGTGTCTCACAGGAAAGCTAATCATAGGAAACTAAACCCATCTGCTCAGAGATGAGGAATATTCCTTTCATATACAATTCTGATTAAAAGCAAACTTTTTTCCAAAAGGATTCTTTTTTATAAGTAGCCCTAGGTGCTTATTTCCTTTACTTTTAAATTTAGGTTTTATTTATTCGTTAATGTTCTAAAACTTGTAAAATATTTTATATACATAAAAGAACTTATACGATGGAGGGGATGTGGTTCTATCTGGAGGAGACTTCAATTAGTAGCATTGCTGGTAGCTTCATTAGTTCCATAAGATACTTGTGCTCTCAGAAGTTAATCCTAAGGGTTGTTTCCTGTATTCATTTCTAAGAAAAGTGTCCACTTTTGACTATTTTTGCTTCTTCCATAAGCTGAGTAAATAGGTTTCAGTCTTTCAGCTGTTGGTTCTCCAAAAGCTGAAGGGTTAATTAAACCCTGGAAGGTTTACAAAAAAGTCAGTACAAAAAATAAAGTATTTTAAGTTGAGCCTCCTGGCCTAAGTGTTGTTTCAGATTTTTATCAGTGGCCAAGATGGTAAGACAAAGTGAATGTGCACTTGAACCTTCACAAGACAGTTTCAGATATTCTAACCTACATTCATACTGTTCAAACAATGTGCCCCAAATTTTGACTTAGTAAATATTCTCCTGGTCTGTGAGAGAAACTAAGCCAACACCATGGGAGAAAGAATAAAATTCCAATCACCAAATCAAGCTTAATACATTTTAGAAGCAAAAACAAGTTCAAATACAACAGTGACCTGTGTTATAGTATATCAGAAGACAATCTAAGCGTCACAGTGCATATAAAGAGAACATGTCTGTTAATAAAACTCTGCAGATAAGAGAATAAGTCAGATCCTTGATGCATTAAAAAAAGAGAGAGATTAAAATTCACATTGACCTGACCCCTCTCCACCCTCAGCATGGCCAGGTTCTAAAAGCTCCCAAAGGAAGCAAGATTATTGCAGGTACAGCAATTAAGCAGGGAGATGATTTTCCCATTTCAAAGACCACCACGCTACCACTACTACTAATAATTACACTAACAGTTCGCTTTTACTGAGTGTTCACTACGTACAATTGAAAACACTTCAGACTTAATCCTTAGCAAACTGGGAGAGAGAGATGATTGTCCCTTTTACAGATGCAGAAATGGAAAGTTAAAGGTAGGTAGTTGGCCATCGTCCTACAGCTAATAAGCGGTGGGATTAAGAGTATTTTGAAGGAGAGATACTGTACAATTACACACTGGTTGGGCAGGCAAGGTGGGTCGCCCGTGGCTTTAGTTTGTAAAGCTACGACAAAGAACAGCACAAAGGCTGTGTTTCCTTCTGTTGTACTTAGGATCACTATGAGTCAGACTCATATGCCACCTACTAATAATAATAATACTGCAAAGAACACTGCTCAGCTGCTGCGGATTCCACAACCAAAGCGCAGTAACCTTCACAACAAACTGACTTATGACTCAGGAGGGCAGAGATAAGCGAAATCCACAGATACTCCCCAACTTGCCTTTTTCAAACAAATCGCTTTTCTTTTTCTCTCATAACTGAAATTCTTCCTCTGACTGTTCGCTGGCTTGTAGTTCTCTTTCTTTCTGATGGAGGTGCCAGGGAGTATAATATGGTTCACTAAGGGCCAAGGAAGTTTTGAATGTATTCCCTAGATATTTGGAAACCCACTGAGCATTTTTAAAAACAAGCTTTTCATTGGTGATAAGGATGCACCTCATTAAGGTAAGCAGACCCTCGCCAACAAGTCCTTTGGCTGCTGGAAAATACTGAATTTTCTGGTTGTTTGATTGTTTAGCACTTCTTACTGTTGAACACTTGTCAGACTTCACTTATTTCAGGTAGATCATTTACTTTCTCCACTAGGAAAGGTCACTTACTGAAAATAGGTACCTTGTTTTCAAAATGTAATAATGTTCTTTATCTTAACCTCCTCTAGGAATGAGCCTTAACAAGAGCCTGTTGCCTCCCTGTATCATTTTGAAATGGCATAAAATGCTTCCAGAATCAGTTTTGTAAAAATAAACTGATTCCATATTTCAGAGAAAGATTGGCAACGAGGGGAGGATTGTATTTTACCAGATTTTTCAAGTGGAAGAATTTTGCATGATCTATTTTAACTTGGTCCTTTGAGGAAAAACAGCAAACATATGCCACCCAAATCATTCCTAAATATTTCACATTCAATTTCTCATGTTTCTCTCTCTCTCTCTTTTTTTTTTTTTTTTTTAATCCCTGTTTTTCAAAGTATTGACCTGAAGCTGAAAGAAAAGCCCTAGTTGACCGTGGCTGGAAGAAGAGGATGCTTTTCTGCATCATGATCCTGTTGAATCATATCTACCTGGAAGGGACAGGGCTGATGTTATTTTTTGCCACTTTGCACTACCGGGTGCCATTCTAAATTTCTAAGGGGAAAAACAGTAATGGAATTTGTTTACTCTTAACGTGTTTTATGAAATTGTGTGTATTTTCCTATTTTGCCAATTATGTGCCTCAAAGATTTTAGTTGAACCTTAGCAAGAAAGTAGGGCCTTCCATTCTGATATTTCATTACCCTGTGGTGCAGTGGTATTTTGTCCTTTAGATCAGAGTTTACCAATAGGACAAATTTAATCCAGTAATAAGTGTGAGTGGATTTGTCCCCATAGATTAGCTAGGCTTTTTTTTGGTGATCATTTTAGGTTAAAGTACACAGGAAAATTGTCTACACATAACTCTGCCTTTAAAATCCTGAATTTGCTTAAGATAGACAGGAACTAGATAGGTGTGAAAGCTAAGTATCAGCTTTGTTATCATCTACATGAATCTTCTCTAACTCCTCAGAGGGAAGCCAGTCTTCCTAATGCAGGTCGGTTTTACGCTAATTATCAAATTGGACACCAATCTGTATGTGAATGGGTCTTCTTAAAGATTATCATTTCTTCAATGAACAGTAAAGACCTCCACACGGAGAAATTTAGGATTAATGCCCATGTTTTTGGTAGTTATCTGTACTTCAATCCATAAAACTAGGTCAAGACATTGGTCTTTTCTTCCCAGCATCTAATGGCCAAGGGCTCCCTAGGTGTAACGGAGCCAACTCAGAAATTCACTATTTGGTTATGCTCGGTTATCTGAATTTCTCTCTCACAGGCATTATAAAAAGTAATCTGCTTTAAAACACTCCAGTCTGATCACAGGTTTAAAATTAAGTGTGAGTATATACTACTATTTACAAAATATTTCCTTTTTGGTCTCCATATGTCCTTTAAAATGCTAACATAACTTCAGATCTGTGGACCTCTAGCACAAAGATTAGCAAGCAACACCCAAATCCAGTTTTTGTATGATCTGCAAGCTAAGAATGATTTCAGCATTTTTTGGTGGTTTTTAAAAACCAAAACAAGAATAATATTTCATGACTGACAAAAATTCTTCGGTTTTCAGTGTTCATAAATAAGGTTTTATTGGGACACAGCCATGCTCACTTATTTACATATTGTCTCTGGCTACTTTTGTACTACACAGGCAGAGCTGAGTATTCGTGACAGAGTCCACATGGCCCACAAAGCTTTAAATATTTACTGCCTTTGTAGAAAAAGTTTGCTGACTCCTGCACTAGCACCTAATCTCCTCCCTCCGTTTTATTTAGATACTATTTTCCCTAACTGAAGGACAAATAAGACTGCACACTAATTTCTTTTTAAGAAGTGAACAGGTAGCAGCTATGTTTTTATCGACATCCACAGAGAGTAAAATACATGGCCTTCTGAAAAAGACAAGAGGCCCCTAGCCACAGAAGCACTGCTCAGGATGCGTTTGCAGGATTCAAGGTGAAGCCTTCTTTGAAACAACTCTTTAACCGTTTGCATGTGTTACTGAGGTCTTCACCTTACTCGTGGAACCATTTCTGAGTCTCCAGTATCACCTGTGACAAACAAGCTAGCAAAACTAAAAATGTTATGGAGTCTCATGCTGGTAACTTTGTTAGGAAGAGCCATCAGGGACACCTTGAGCCTTGGGTGTAATGAACCCTGAAGCCCTTCAAAGCAGACACCTTTGCACAGCTGACTGAGTTTCACTGACCTCATTTGCTTCTTGTCAGTCTTTCACTCACCCTCCACACACGCTCACGCATACGCGTCAGCTCTCTCTTCCTTGACAATGCTAAGCCATAGTTAACCTATATTCCCTCCTTGGCCCCTTTCAACTTAAGTATCTTGTGGAACTGTGTTCTTTTGGGTCTCCACCCTTAAAGCATCTGGTTTGCCTGATACGAAAACTCTAGACCCCACCCTCTGTCGCAGCCCACCTATACCTTTGAAAGCCCAAATGATTCCTCTCCCAGAGCTTAGGTGTTGCCATAAGTACAGTGACCCAATATTCCAGTCTGCATACCTGTTTGTAACTGTTGCCCTGGTCTAATTATTAATAACACTCCCTTTTGCTCTCAGTAATGTCCCATTTGGGAAGATAAATTACATGATCACCCTAACCACAGGAAGTAATGAAGAACCCAGTGTTCCATTTAGTGGTGCAAGCCTGGGGACATAGGGGAGTTGTTAAAGCCAATCAGACAAGGAGCAATCTCACCATTCACATTTTCTGTCCTGCCTGTTTACGGAAGACTACTCAGCTAGTATGCTATTTGAAGCTTTGTCTTCCTACACAGAAATGATGAGTGTCTTTCCCAATCCATGGTTTTGTTTGGGCTGTGCTCTGGGCTGTGTAACCATTCTGATATTTAGGCATCTGCTACTTTATTGTCTCTTAAAAAGAGAAGTTAATTGCACGTGCTAGAGAAAATCCACCATGTAAATTCAATCCAAATAAATAGAATCCTAGAGGAATCCTGAAAAAAATAATCCCTAAGCAGATAGGTAGACAGCTGTAAACATTCATGTCATCCAGCTATCTAGCTCCTGCATTCTGAGCATTCTTGCTTTGGTTCTGACTTCTGGAAACTGCTTTGCACTCTTCCTGTAGTTTGCAGTTAAGCGAACCAAGGGGTCGTTAGGGCAAAAGGATTGTTTTCCCAAAGTGACAACTGCTCTTCATGTAGCTCCTTGATTAAGTGGAAGAACAAAAATCTGCAGGAAAGATATTGTCAAGGAGTGAGAAAAGTTTGTTTGAGGGCAATTGCTGAGTGTGGGAAGAAAACCCTAAGATTCCTTTCGAAGCCATACAATGTTTTAGCAGGTCACCCTCTAAGACATACTTTGGGATGTGTGAGGAAGTCACTACACCTAGCCGTCATTATTAAGATATATTTTCAGTATTCAGTTATGGTACTGCGTTTGCAACTCTCATCACAATGCCTCAGTAGTTTGCTCCCTTAGAAACACTTAGATGTGCACAAATTAATCTTTTATATATTTAAAGGATTTTCTACCATGTATCAGATTGTGCCGAATATAGTATCTATTAGACCTTGTTTGGGTAAATAAATAAATTCTCCATAAATAGTGTGGATTAATAATATAAAGATATGTAACAACACAACGTATATATAGCCTCTCTGTATAATTCAGAAATAAAAATCGATTCCACATTTCATGGCTTCCTTTCTTTGCGTTAGCAAGAATCGCTCTGTAGCTTCGCTTTAGAACAGGTTTATCTGTACATCATTGGAGCAGGGGTGGTGCAGTGGTAGAATGCTCACCTTCCATGCGGGAAACCTAGGTTCGATTTCCGTCAATGCAGCTCATGCATAGCCATCACAAGGGTTCGATCCCCAACTGATCATAGGACTGGCGCGAGAGCGGGCAGCGTTTTTATGCTGTTGTGCATGGAGTCGCCATGAGTCGGAGGCCAACTTTGGCAACTAACAACAACAACGAAAATGGACATCAGTCTAGCTTGGCACTTGAGGACATTGTATAAATGTCGACTTTCTTTGTCACCCAAATTTCTTTGCCTTTTCATTTTTGCCTGTCCTTTGCCTTTGCCTCAAAATGTGTTGCTTACTCTCTGAGTAAGAAGTTTCTCACTTCAGAGGAATCTCCATGACTCACCATTATTTGATTTTGCAAACTTTCCCTTTGGTTGTTCCTTGCCTTTTATGGCATTTATGCATTTTTAAATTTCAATGCACTAAACACCATTTTGTTTTTAGTTTTTTTGTTTGTTTTTTCACTTTTACAACCTTCAGGTAAAACCAGGGCTGAGAATCACCACTGTGCTTTTTTTAAACTTAATACCCATTGCCATTGAGTCCATTCCAACTCATGGCAACCCTAAAGGACAACCATAGGCTTTTCAAGGCTGTAAATCTTTACAGAAGCTGACTGCCACATTTTTCTCCCACAGAGCAGCTGTTGGGTTCAAACTGCCGACCTTTCGGTTAGCAGCCAAGTGCTTAACCACTGCACCACCAGGGCTCCTTAAATACCTAATAAACAAATGTTTATTGTACCAACCAATATAATTGGTGGACTAACCAAATGCAAAGTTGTTCTACAAAAGATGAGACATTGCACAGTTCTCATGATCCAGGAACTAGGTCTGGAGGATATTGTCCTCTACCCAAGGGAGAGAAAAAGGAGGAGAACAAGTTGAGAAGTAATTGAGGGCAATCACTCTGCTTCCTTAAACTAACTATGGTACTGGAAATTGGAGGACAGAATGGGTAAAATGTGGTGGATACACTTTGCGGAATACTGTGCAGCTGTTAGAAGCAACAAACTAATGTTCACAGTGCAATACTTAAAGTATTGCTCTAAGTGGAAAAGGTAAGAAAGAACTCAATATTTATAGCATAATGCCATTTTCTGTAATTTATAAACATGTTGTTGTTGCCATTGAGTTGGCGCTGATGCGTGGCGACCTTACGTATAACAATTAAGCATGCCCAGTCCTGTGCCAACTTCATGATTGCTGGTATGAGTCCATTTTTGTGGCTATTGTGTCAATCCATCTCATTGAGGAACTTATAAACATACACAAAACAACACTATATATTATACAAAATCCAGGCATATTTCAGGACTTAGCACACACATTAGAGTGGGTGCAAGGGACGAGGGTGAGAGTGAAGATTGGGAATAAAGGTGAGAGTCTAATTAAAAATCAAAATCAAAAAGAGCCTTTTATGGATTGCTGGTGGTAATGTGCTATAGACTGAGAGTCTGATGAACTCAGATCTCATCACTGAAGACACTCCACATTGTCGCTATGGAAGCCAGAACTTTCAGCTGTAAATCACAGAAAAGCTGTGTGAGTTAAGGCACTTTGGGTCCCCAGGGGGCTATTCCCTTTGACAGTCTCTTGTCCCCTTTCCCTCTGTTGGCTGCCTCAGTGGGCTGCAGCTTGCCAGGAATAAGTTAAGAGCCTGCCCTGGGTTGCATCACCCTGTACAGTCATGGAACTTTTAATTAAATTAATCCCTTTTGACACATCGATCCTCACAGAGCTGTGAGCTTTATAGAGCAAAGAGACTGCCTTATGAAGCTAATTTTTCTAGCGAGAATTTCATTTACATTTATCCAAAATAACTTTCTTTAAACAAGATTATTTGTTTTCAATATATAAGCATTTTAACTATAAATAGATGGCAGACACTCAAAACTGCCATCTATTAATCTCTCTAGCCTTAGCCCTACCAACGGCTCTGCAGCCTTTGACACTTGATCATTCCCTCCTTGTGGAAACTCTGATCCCTTAGATTAGTGAACTGAATTACCTTGTTTTTTTTCCCCCATATTCATTATCTATTGCTGCATAACACAATATCCTAAAACTTAGCACCTTCAAACAACCCATACTGATTATTGCATAATTTCTGTGGGTCAGAAATCCAGGCACAGCTTAGCTGGATTCTCTGCTTTAAGGTCTCTCAGGGCTGCAATCAAGGTGTTGGCCCAGGGTCTCTCACAAGAATCAGTCAAGGTTCAACGGGGACAGAATCTGCTTCTAAGCTCACAGGAGCCTGTATTCAGTTTCTCGATGGTCATTGGACTGAGGGCCTCATTCCTTGTTGGCTGTTGGCTAGAGGTTACCCACAGTTCCTTACCACATGGACCCCGCCAACATGGGGGCTTGTTTTGTCAAAATGAGAGAGAGAGAGAGAGACTAAGGACAAGATGGAAGTTAAACAATTTTTTTGTAATCTAATCATAGAAGTTACATCTCGTCACTTTTGCTATATTCTGTTTGTTAGAAGAAAGTCACTAGATCCAGCCCACAATCAAGGGGAGAGAACTACACGAAGGCATGAATACCAGGAGACAGGGATCAATGGGGCCATCTTAGACGTCTGCTTACCACACCTCCTAACCCTTCTGCTGATCCTTCTTCGAGCTACTCTGTCTCCTCTTGCCTATAAGTGGAGGAGTCTCTCAATGTTTCTCTTTTTCTTTACTCTTTCTTCTGTTCCTTCATGACTTCAACTAACATATCTCTTCAGATTGTTCAAGTCCTGATTTCAAGCCCAAGCTTCAAAACCACACCATCATTTTCCCACTCAGTCTCTGTGCCCCCTTCAATCTCTGGAAGAAAAATTCTCTCCTCCCTGGGCTGCTGAGACCATTTCTCTACTATCTCGTTGTCTTTGAAATCACGCGTTGGTGTTGTTGTTAGTTGTCATTGAGTTGGCCTCTTGCTCATGGTGACCCCATGTGTCACAGAGTGGAACTGCTCCACAAGGTTTTCTTGGCTGTAATTTTATGGAAGTAGTTCGCCAGGCCTGTCTTCTGAGGAGCAGCTGGGTAGGTTAGAACCACCAACCTTCAGGTTGGCAGCCGATCACAAACCACTTGTACTACCCAGGCTTTCTTGTAATCACACATACTAGAATTCAAATCCCAACTCTATTTATTAGCTGTGTTACTTTGAGCAAGTTACTAAACTTTTCTGAGCTTTAATTTATTTGTTGTTAAAATGTGGATAAAACTCTCATCTTACAAGTTTATGTAAGAGTTCAATGGGATTTAAATGCCCAACCTAGTGCTTAATACCCAGAAAGCATTCAATAATTGTTAGTTGTCTATCCACACCTTCCAGTCCCTGGAGAAGGACATCATACTTGGTAAAGTAGAGGGTCAGTGAAAAAGAGGAAGACCCTCAACAAGATGGATTGACACAATGGCTACAACAATGGGCTCAAACATAGCAAGGACTGTGAGGATGGTGCAAGACTGGGCAGTGTTTTGTTCTGATAGGGTCACTATGAGTTGGATCTGACTTGATAGCACCTAACAACCACAACAACTTACACTCTCTTTTCTTCCTCTTCCTACTCACCCAGGCTTTTATCTGCTAACCAGCCAACTTCTCCAAATCCACTCCCACCCACCTTTAGTTTCCTGTCAACTGTGTCAGCATCTCATTTCCTCTCCTGCCCTCTCTTCTAAATAAAAACCCATCCCGTTGCTGTCCAGTCGATTCCGACTCATAGTGATCCTATAGTACAGAGTAGAACTGCCCATACATAGGGTTTCCAAGGAGCAGCTGATAGTTTTGAACTGCCGACCTTTTGGTTGGCAGCCAAGCTCTCAACTACTGCACCACCAGGGCTCCCTCTTCTAAATAGACTACGTAATTCTCTTTAACCAGTTCTCATTTTCTCTCAGATATAGTTATTTTACTCCCATTCCCTGCCTTACTCCTCGCCTAGTCCCTTCTAACACTTTCATCTCTTATCCTTACTGAATATACCTTTTGTTTTTACTTTTTCTTTTGAAACAATCTCAAACTTGCAAGAACAGTAGAAGAAATTACTTTTCCTGAAACATTTGAGAGTAAGTTGTCTACATGATGTTTCTTCACCCCCAAGTGCTTTAGTGCGCATTTCCTACAAACAAGGATATTCTCCTAATAACCTAATATGACTATCAAAGCTGGGAAATTAACATTGAAACATTACTACCAAATAATCTTCAGATGCCATACAAGATTCAAACATTGTCTCAAGAAATGTCCTTTATAGCAAAAGGGTCCCATTCAGAATCACACTGCATTAAGTTGTCATGTCTCTTTCGTTTCCTTCAATCTGGCATAATTTTTCAGACTTCGCTTGACTTTCATGACCCCAGCACTTCTGAAGGTTACTTATAGTTATTTTATAGAATGTCCCTCTATGTGAGTTTGCCTGATGTTTCCTCATGATTAGAGAAAACTTCTTTGGCAACAATATCTCAGAACTGATTTGTGTTTTTCTCATTGCATCCTGGTGATGTTAAGTACTTGACTAAGGTGATGTCTGCAAGGCTTTTCCACTATTACTCTTTTTTCCTTTGTAATTAATAAGTATTTTGCTGGGAGATGCTTTGAGTCTATGTAAATATTCTGTAGCTGACCAAACTTTCAATTTATCAATGTATTTATTTATGTCAGCATGACCTCATGGAATGTGATTTTATTCAATATGTTACAATTCATCCTCTAATTGCTTGTTTAATCCTTATATTGTCGCAGATTTGGTCAGTGGAGCCCTTTCAGTCTGGCTTCTGTGTTCTTTGACTTCTGTGTTCTTTGACATGTCCCCATCATTCTTTGAGTACTTACTTCCCTACTCTCTGGCACAAGAAAATGTTCCAGGTATTTTCACCTTGTATTTTCCCTGTCTCAGCCCTGGCATCACCCATTTCTTAAAGGACCCTAGTTCCTTTTTGTGAAGAATGGTATTTGGAATTCAAAATCTGATACTAAGACTCAACATTGTGAAAATGTCAATTCTACCCAAAGCAATCTACATATACAATGTAATCCAAATCCAAATTCCAACGGCATTTTTTTAATGAGATGGAGAAACAAATCACCAACTTCATCTGTAAAGGGAAGAGGCCCCGGGTAAGTAAAGCATTACTCAAGAAGAAGAACAAAGTGGGAGGCCTCACACTACCTGATTTTGGAACCTATTATACCACCACGTTAGTCAAAACAGCCTGGTACTGGTACAACAAC